CATTCCAGTCCTGGGGTCTTAGACCACCCTTCAAGATACTGAAGACAAGGCCTCTTCAGAGACTGAGTCACTGATGTCTTGTATCTTTGTCTTGTCCAAGTACTGTACTGTCAGAATTCTCAAGACTGATTGCTCATCTGTCTGTATTTTAGGAAGTTCATAGGTAATCTAGAATCTAGAAATGCAAACTGTTTCAGGTGAAGAAAGGTTTCAGTGGGAAGTTCAGGAAAGAAATAATAGTTATTAAGAAATGTATTTCCTTTGTCTAGGTGCTATAACCTTCCTATGCCCTGTGGAGCATATTTCAGTGAACCACTTAAAGGGAAAAATCACACAGGAAGCTGGCTGAATAATGCATATGTCAGATTCTCTTTTTATTTATGTTTGTCTTGTTTTGAAGAGAAAACTATGAGTTTAAGGAGACAGTGGAGATTGACACCTCAACACAACTTAGAGAAAGCTTAAATAACAGTAAAAAATTTATGCTTGTATCTTACATATTAATAATTGATATGATCAGTGAACATTTACAAATTTTAAGAGGCATTCAGTAAGGTAGTAGCTGAAAAGATTACTTAAATGAAATGCATGTGAATGTGGTTTGTGGAAGTTTTTATCACTCCCCTAAAATTTTATGTCCAAAAAAGTGAAATTCCTATGGTAAGAAATCAGAATAGACCAGTACTGAAAATCATGCACATAATTTATGTTGTAATTGTGATAATGAAATAAAGCTTTTAGTATTTATATTTGATTTATTTACATTTACTGCTTATCTATGTGATATATTTTTTCAATTTAAAATGGAAAAGCTACTGAGAAATAAGATATGGGACAAGCCTTAAGAGAAATGAAGGAAATAGTAGGGTTTTTGTTTGGTTGGTTGGGTTTTTTTTGTTGTTGTTTTGAGTTTTCTTTTTAGATGAGTTCAATTATGTTGTGAAAAGATTGGAATTATGAAAACTCTATTTGCAAAGAAGATTTTTATATCAAGTTATGATTGATTATTTGATATCTTTTATTCTCACCCTATTTTTAATCACTCCTTAGGGGAGAAAAAAATTGGAGAAGAGAAAAACCTTATTGTAAAAGCTTCTAGCATCAGGAGTGAAAAAATGCTTTAATGTTTCTTAGTTATGATTAGATTCTGCTGCACCTACGTGATACATCAGTGCCATACCAATGGCTTTTTTCTATCCAAGTCATTAGACCAGAGAAAACTGTTTTTTCTTACTGCAGTGTTTCAATTTGCAACTCAGGCATTGACAATCCCACCTACACCAAAGACTTAGTGGAATATCTGATTCATTCATAACCACAATCAGCACGCATTAGATGTGAATATTCCCCCCACAGTTCTATTTAAAGGTTTACATGGGTTTGAGGAAATTGGATGAAGAGCACAGGATCTGCACTGCAGTTTCTTGAAATTCTGTTCTAGAGAACATCAATATATGATAGAAGTAATAAATTCCACATAACAATTACTATACTATGTTTCTGCTTGTGTGCCATTTCATTTCCAACAATAGCATCAAATTAAGACTGAATGTTTGGTTGTTGAAGTAACAATTATTCATATCCCTTTAAGGTGAGATGCATCATTGGATGACTCATAGCATCCTTCTGTTTTTACGTCTGTTTTTTACTTTGAAATTTATCAGAATTATTTTTGTCGGGGTGGTGACGGTAGTGTTATATTTTAAGTTACTGAAATTAAGTTTATCTGTAACTGTTTGAGTTTTTTATTGTAGCTAATCCTTCCAACACCTGAGCATCCTGCACACGAAATTAATAGGAAAGTCTTACATGGACCTTAAAATAATTCAAATATTTTAGTAAGTTCCACTACTTTTTACATTTTGTTTTTCATAGGGTAGGTTTTCATAAGACAGTGAGGCAGGGTTGTCACGTGGTGGTAATAAATGTAGTACTTTAATTGTGAGCATTACTGATGTTGGCAAGGCTTGTTCAAAGAAGGCTGTTTTCAAAAGAGATCAGGTCTAGATCTGCTTGCTGTCTTCTGACAGAGGCTGTGCTTTGACCCTGCACACAGGAGTGTTGATAATGGTGCCACTAACAATGAATTCATCTTAATTTGTTGTATAAGCTCCCTAAGGATCTCAGTTCTAATGCTTTATTAATATATTTATCTGTTCTCTTCAAAAGTTGCCACTGACATTAAACTTCACAGGTCTGTTTTAAGTTCCTTGTGAGAGTTACATATGGGTTTTGGTGAACTTCTTTATATTGCAGAATTTTTGCACTCTGTTAGCTCTACAAAGCCATTATTAATGGAAGAATATTTTTCAGTTTTCTACTCTGTGTCCTCCTCTTTTGATATTTCCGTCTGCATGCTGAGTGATTGATACTGCAGAAGTACCTGTCTTTTGTACCAAGTGTTGATTTTTCCTGTTTTTGTTAGTTACTGGCAAATTGTGAAGGAATGAAAACAACCCCTCTCATATGAGGTCATTGCTTCTCATGAGAAACATCATAGCACTTTCCCTGTCACTTTGGTTCCATGTTTTTGCTACCTGTATTCCCTTTACTGCCCCTAGTTCTCACTGTAGTATTTTAAGACCTGCTTTGTGTGTCAGGACTGCTAACCATCTGTTGGTAGCAGCTGGGTGGTATGGCATTTGATCACCAATCCTTTCCCCTGTGGATTTCTTCTAAAGCTCAGTTTTGATCTGAGTTTCTTCAAGAGCTCCACTATCAGCAGCTCGGTGTCACTGGTACTTTTCATGTACATGCCAAGAACTTTCTTCTACAGAGTTACAGATGGGCTCAGCTTGACATGAGTAGTTCTAGTACAGTCAATGAGACCTCCTTATGTGCATGAAATGCCTGTTTAAGTTTTTGAAGACGGTTACTTAAAAATTATTTAAATGTGTTTTTATATCCAGCATTGAAATTTGCAAGGACTCTCTTGTTGTGAGGGAGTTTAGCTGGCTTGTGTTGCTTTCTGGAAGATACACAGACTGACCCCTGTGTTATCTGCCCACATTTTCACACAGATCTTTAACTTGTCCACTCATGCAGAGAAGTGAGGTGTGCCTCCTTGCTGTTCAATTACTTCAGTGAGCTCTTGAAGGTGGATGAGCATTGCTAAGAATTATTCTCATGTCACACATGCTATGCACCTCCATGTCCATAGGTTTGGGATATCTAAGAATTGCACCTATCCACCCTGTGTTAAAAAGCTAGCATTCTGCTAAGACACATGATCAGTAGTGTTGTCCTCCCTCATATCTGGTATTCCCAGACTGTTTGAAAAAAAGGAAATATAAGAGTATCTTCTGTCCTATTTTTTCTTGGGAACCAGTGGGATTTTGTTCAGATTTAAATATTTTCCAATTCTTTCCCCTCAAGAGATTTTCTAACCCTTAACTTATTTCAAGATAGTCTGGCCCTTTTTCCAGTCAAATCCTCAATTGTTCCTTTTGCTTTGGAAAAAAAAAGTTACCATCACCCAGACACAGACAAATAAATTATTGTCTGTTCAAATAGTAAGCAGTAATCTTGTCCAATTTACCATTTCTGGAGCAGAATATTCTTTCCAGACAAGGCACAACAGCAAACAAATCACTTTGTGATGAAAATGTGGCCAAGCATCAGTGACCCCTTTGCATCGTTAAAATTTTCAAGGAAGCCCCAGTGGTTTGCTTGATCTTGTTATTGCAGACTGTGCTATTAATGTATCTATTAAAATAACTACTAATAGTAAAGCTGAAGAGCAAGAATATAACTGTCCTCCAGTGCTTTCAAATATTTATGATACTCTTATGCATTTGCTGAAACACATTCCCAGAAGCCTTTAATTATAACACATTATTGGCAGAAATCCATATGTTGCTTCCTTTTGCTCCCTCTAACGTCTTTCTTTTACAAGTTTTATGCATTTGGTCGTTACATCTAGCTAATATTTGTTCCCAAATCTGTCTCACTGCTAGAAAAATTAAAAGTTACAGGTAAAAAATAAGTATAAATAAGAAGAAAAGAAAGGGGAACCAACACTAAAGCAATATTATAGGTAGAGAAAATGAAGCTGCTGTCCCATGCGATGTAACTATGTCTCACAGGGCAGTAGCCATTCCTGTTTTGTCTTTGCTGGCAAACTAGCAATCCTCTCTTCACACTAACTCAAATGCTTCTCCAGCATTTATTTGGTCGGTTTCTGTGCCTTAAATCTATATAACCTGAAAAGCAGAGAGGGGAGAACAAACCCTTTCATACAGCTTTTCATACTGAAATGCCTCAGCTGGGGTCAGAGCTAAGACTGGGAGAACGGCAGGACTGAGGCCGCCAGCAGGCAGATCAGCTTTAGGATCCACTACCTCAGGCAGAAAGGAGATTAGATAGTTTTGTCCCTTACCAAGTCTGTGACAGATCCAAGAATGAATCAAAATCTGAAACCAAGATCATGCCTAACTCACAGAAATAACTCTCCTCTTGATTTTTCCATATAATGGTTTTTTACACTAAATGGTTTAACATTTAAATAAGTAATTGTGCCCACAAAAATTATCTTATTTCTACTCTCTTTTGTTTTTATTTGTAAACAGCATTGCATGCTTTTGGTTTAATTTGTGCATGTATATCTTGCAAACTCAAATTACAAAATGAGACAGGAACATAGGTGTTCAGATTAAAAAAGCAGCGTGTAAGTTTTCAAGTACAAAATAGACAGCTTGGCATCAAAGGTATTTTTAAAATGTTAGAAAAATATTATAAAAACATGCAATTAATATGGTATAAAATCTGGATGTGTTTCAATTTAAAAGTGTTATTTTTTGGATAGAGAAAACTTATGTTCAAACACACATACAATTTTGTCTGGCTGAAAGTGTAGACGTACCACATTAACGATTATATACCAAAGGAAACATAGTATGTAATACATTTGTGCAAAAGAAAATAATATCACTAAAAAGCTGATAATAAATGGCTGTCTGGACTATTTAAAAAAATGGAGAAGTCTAGACTTCAAAAATACGGTAATTGAAATGGGTCTTTTTATTAAATACAGACAAAACTGTAATAAATAGAGTTGGCATTTACTTGCAAAACAATGCTAAAATGTATTCAAAGTTAAGTGATTTAGAATAAATGGCTCTGGATTATGTGGCTATCAAAGAAATAGAAGAAGAATACTAATTAGCACTCTTAATCTTTAATACAGTACCAGTCCAGTTCTCTCCTTTGGTAATTCTTTATTGTAACCATAGTAACAAAAGAAGGAAACTTAAGTCACACAGACATTTACAATTCCTTTTATTTTTCTTAAACAAGTCTTAATTCCTCTAAGAAGCTCAGTTTCATACTTGTAGCTCTTGTAATTATACTTTTCTACATTTAAATATGACAGCATATCCTTAGGCATTAATTCATTCCTACATAGCTCATCTAGATTAAATTTTAAAAAGCTTGCTCTTGCTTTCATTATTTTATGAAGAGGCCTTTAAAATAAGCTGCAGTATTCAGAATTTAAATATATAAATATAATGACAGTACTTACCTAGAATAGAACAGTTATTTTGAGGGAGGTACTTTTAGAAATAGTTTAAAAGATTTTCATGCTAAAGAAAAGAGAGTTAAAGAAGGTAGTGATTAGAAAGCTCCAGGAAAGGTCTTAAAACATATAATGAATCATAGGTTAATTCAGGTTGGAAAAGGCCTCAGGAGGTTTCTAGTCCAATGTGCTGCTCAAAGCAGAGTCAGTCCTGAGGTCAGCCCATGCTGCTCAGGGCTTGATCTGGTTGGGTCTTGAAAGCCTCCAAGGCTGAAAACTGCACAGGTTCCTTGGGCAGCCTGTTCCACTGCTGGACTGCCATAACAGTAAACAAGTACTTTCCTATTTCCAGTGGGACCTCCTCTGCTTTAGTTTGTCTGTTGTCTCTCGCCATTGGCTGTTGTGGCTGTGTCTTCATGCTAAATTTACCATGGTCACTGGCGGTTCCTGTTAGGTCCCCCTGAAGAGCCATCCCTTCTCCCAGATGAACAAACCTCAGCCCCTTCTCACAGGACTCCTGCACACCTGTCCCAGCTGTCTTGGCAACCCTCCACTGAACTTGCTCCAGTTTCTCAGTGTCTTCTCTTACTGGTCAAGAGACCTTAAACTGGACACAGTATCCTAGATACAATCAACAACTGCTAAGTAAAGGCAATAGACATCTTCCTTGCCACCATGTATTTTCTTGATGATACAGCCCCAAAGGTGACTACCCTTCATTACTGCCAGGGCGTGTTTATCTTCAGGTTATGGTCCACCAGTGTCTTCTCAATGGAGCTGCTCCACAGCCTGTACCAGTGCAAGGATTTCAGACATTCAAAGTGCACAACTTTGCATTTGTCTTTGCTTTTCTTCTTGCAGTTCCTGCCATTCCATCCCTCCAGCCTGCCTAGGCGCTTCTGGATGGCAGCCATGGCTTCAAGCAGACTGGCTGCGTGCACCAACTAGGTGTCACCTGAAAGTTCAATGAAGGTGAACTCCAACCTCTCCTCCAGGTCACTGAAAAAGATGTTAGACAAAAGAGGTCCTGAAAAAATCACAGCTGGCCTCCAGGTAGAGCATGTACCATTAACCACCCACCCTTTGAGCCTCAGGGCCCAGGCAGGTTTTCACTCATCTAGTAGGCCACCCATCCAGACCCACCACCCATAATGTTCCAACTCAGACACCAGGATTCTGTAGGAAAGGAAAAAAGACTCCTAGATACTTTTTGACCAGAATTCATATTTCTAAACTGCAGAAGAAGCTCTTTACTAAACAGCAGAGCAATATTTTAAAGTCACGCACCTATAAATACTTACTCTGGCAAAAGGGGTTTTGCACAGTATATAAAATGTGGTTTATTGATTCGTATACAGTAAATAGCATACCATTTCTTCTCTTTCTATCTAGTATAGCAACAGGAGTGAGAAATATTGTAATTGTACTCAAAGAACATGCCCTTATCATAGGCTAAATCTACCATAGCAAATGTATCCTCGTGTCACTGATAGTAGCTATTTGAGAATGATTTCTATTAATATATATTTCCTTCCTCTGTGAAACTGTATAGGTGTATGTAAAACAAAAGTGGTTAGGGAATGGGAGTTTTTTCTTGGGAGATAACCTGAGCAGTTTCTGAGGTGGGAGCCTTAGACTATTTGATATGAAAGGCAGGATGGTTCTCCAAGTTACAAAGAGGTATCTCTCCTCTTTTACTTCTTGATGGGTTCCATCCTTAACTGATTTGGTGTCAAGGATGCACAGATATGTGCTCCTGTTAGACTTCAGGAGGCATGTCCATCCTTATACAGTTTTCTTCACCAGCACAGTTAAAGGTACTTGCAGTTGTGACCCAGAGCCAAAGTGCAGAGTGGCCCAAGAGCCACCTTCCTCAGTGCAAACAGTTTTGAGCCACTGGCGGCTGTGATACATTCATATTGAGCCCTTTGTGCAATGTGCTCTTTTTAGAGCAGTTGACTGGAAACTCTCTTCCCCACCCTTCCCCTCAAAGAAGAGCTGGTACCTGCCTGCCTGTCCTTTAGGTTGTCCTTTCTTTCCATTCTTGGTTCATTTCTGACAGGTTGCTCTCTTCTCCACCACCATCTTTTGCAGTGTGATTGTGTAATTCTCTCCTTCAAGTCATTTGAAGTCATGTGAAAATTTCCTCCCTACAATTTTGAATTTCTTTTACTAGGATTTTCCACCACATAAATAATCTGCTGAAAATCAAGAGGGCAAATCTGAAAGGACAAAGTTCCCTAATACTTACTCCAATACTCTGTGTCCCAAACTGCAGCCTTTATAATTCCCCCAGCAGCCACATAACTTTGGATCCACATGAATTCTTTAGTTGTCAGGCATTTTTCTGAGCCTTCGTACTGACATGGCTGTCCAGATTCTCAGATGGAGGAGGGTTAGGTGGAGCTGGGTTGGAGGGATTGCAAACTGAACCTGCAGCTGTCTTCAGCCACCCGTTCATGTAAAATCCCCCTATTTCCTGAAGGCTTTAAATTCTTTTTTCCTGGGCATCCCCCAACTAGCTTAGTGTGGAGTGACCCAGTCATAATTTACATTTAAGCCTAATTTGGATTCATAAGCAAGGCATTCCTCGGTCTGTTTCACCTGAGGGGCTCTATCCAGCTGGCATGCTCCTAGCATGACTAATGGTGCAGGCTGTGCTTGAAGTACAGCCGCAGCAGGAGGTGATGGGAGTCTTCATTCATTCCTCCAACAGTAGTATGAGTAGCCAGTGTGGGTTCAATCTCTTCCCAGCAGAAGGATTTTACACCCATCCTGCACCCCAGTCTTCCATGTAAAATTCTAATATGGTTTTCTTCTGTGAAAAGTCTGCATTTAAAAGGAATATGTACTTATTAGTTAGTGAGAGGAGGTGTGGAGGAGTGTGCACAGAATTTTTGCCAGAACAGTCGTGCTATTTAGGCGTTCTGGGGCAGTTAGAACTCTTACCTGGGAAAAGGAGAGGGCTGACTTCTACTCCTTGCTAGTAGTTATTTAAAAGCTTTACCTAATGACTGATTAACAAAAAAAATCATGAACGTTAGCCTCCTGGCTGTTGTAAGTCTTAACTAGATACCTAATGCGACTCATAGGTTGAAGAGGAAAGGGATGAATCTGCCTTGGTAGGAAGTCATCTGCTTGCCACTCTTTCTCCCCCACTCCTTTCCTCCCTGCTTCCTTCTAACAGGTCTTTTATATCTTTTCTGGATTTAGACCCTGACTGTAGGCTTCAGTCCTTGCATTCCCAAGCTATACTGATAGCAAAGAGCATGAAATGAGATTTGCCCTAAGGCACAAAACTGCAGCAATATGCATTTAAAAAGCTTTGTGTGCACACAACTGTCTATTACAGTGGTATTTGAAAAAGAACAAAAATGTATGTTATTATGCTCCTTTGACAGCAGTGCGTACAGAGCATGCAAAGTAGAACAAGTCTTGTGGCTTGTGTGTTCATTCAGAATTGAAAGCAGTGAATAGAGGAGGCTAAATCAAGATAATTTTGACACTTCAAAGTGTTTGCATGCTATTTGGTAGAATCACTTTTCTTAAGACATTTTAATGTATTTGTTCTCAAAAGGCAAAAAGCACTTAAATTACTGATATGTTGCTACATGTATGTATAAATGTAAATTGTCATTCAACAAAATATGTGTGCTGTTTATTTTATTAAAATGTTGTTTAATAAACATTCTTACTAAAGATGTAGACTCAGTACATGAAAGATAAAAGAAGTCTCTAATGTTTATAACTTTCCCAGTATAAAACTTGAACAAGTAAGACATTATTGTAAAGCAACTGCATCAGAATAAAATTTTAGGGATTAGAGCAGCATCAGTCTAGCTCAAGTCTTTCTTTACACTGCTCAGAGCATCATCCACTCTTCATGCCATTGACTTCAGGTATAATTCAGATGGGTGTGTGGTGACTGATAGGCTACACAGCACGATGGCAAGCTAAGGCCAGACCATTTTGCTATTTCTGCATGTTAAGGTCAGTACACCATCTAGAATTTTAGTGTTGTGATAGGACAATCATCAGAGACAAAGAGAACCTTTTTAAAAGAGAGGTTCTTTTTAATTAAAGTAAGACTACACATGTGAAAAGCTCAAACATACAGGATATCTGTTAGTTGTAACCAAGTAATTTAGCCAACAGGTTGTTTCTAATCAGGTTAAAGCAGAAAAGTTGTGAATTGTGAGGCAGCGAAGGAGAGGATCAAGTTGTTGAGGGATTAAGATTTATAACCAAAGTATATTTTCCCAGATTTGAAAGACACAGAGACGTCCTTCCCACCCCGCCAAACTGGTAACACCACTGTAAAAGTATCTAAGACAGTCCATTTACTAGATTATCTTGAAACTTCAGAAACTTGAAAGTGTGTTGTATGGGAAGTGTAGTACTGCATAAGCACTCAGACTTCAGCCAGCAAAATAAAAGGGAAATTTAATACCCCAACAGTATTAACATTGTATTTACAGCTGCTGCTGCTGCCCACATGAAAAAATGTTTCCCAGGGGCTGAGATCAAAGGTACTGCCGCAGTGTGACCTACTATGGGACTACACTATAATAATTTTACAGTTTTAACAGATTGTTTCCAGTGAAAATGTGTGTGATACAAACTGCAGGTGTTCATAAACAGGGAATGAAAGATTTTTTTTTTTCTTAATGCAGGTTGAAATTTAAGTTAGCTACTTGCTTCAGCTGTGCAAAAGTCTCATGTTTGAGAATGAATCCTGTGTAACTGCTGGCTATTCTTTCATATTAGACCAATAGGTTGTTAGTAGTTTGTTGTTTGTTTGCTATGGGATTTTAAAATTAGTTTTTGTAAGGCTGTTGATATGTTATATGTAAGGAAGTTTATATGCAAGTGGAAGCTTCTGCGTTAAAAATGAGACAGAACCCCCACAGTTATTTTACTTTTCAGAATGTCTTAGCTGAAGGAAACTAGGCTGTCCGTCTCTGCTTTGTTTTGCCACCCTGATCCTGAAGAAGGAAACATCATAGCCGAAAGGAGTTAGAAATGGCAGCATATTACTTGCCAGACACAGAGGGTTCGTCACCAGAGTAGTGCACAGGCATTTAGCCTTCTGACTCTATTAATGTTAATGGGAGTCAGGCAGTTCAACCTCCATATACCATGCTCTAAACATATCCATTGAAGTCTAGCAAAGAAGCCCTGAGGCTTCCTTGTAAAAGTCTTTGAAACTGCTGCTCTTCTCCTGCAAGATTTGTGATGAAAAACAAGCTAGAAAGCTGCCCACTATACAGAGATTTCCATGCAAAAGCTGTGCCTGAATAGAGATAGGTCTGGTGCTTTGGCATATTACTAAAATCAAAGCACTGTGAGGGGAAGAAGGGTGATGTGAGAGGTACGTGCTTCCCATGGATGGCTTTGTAGCTGCATCTCCAGGCAGGCATTTTCTTTACAGACTATATTGAAAGCTGCTGAGAAACACCTGAACCAGGCACCACAGTTCACATCCCCAGCCCTGACAAAGCGTTGCTGTTTTATTGTGTTGTTCTGGTCTAGTGCAAAAGGGCTATACAGCCAATTTATCTCTCTTCTGGGAGTGTGGAAGGATATTCATGTTTTACAGAGGGCTAACCATAAAAATCTCTTTCAGCTCCTCTGTCAGTAGGGTAAATGAGCGCATCCCTGCTGCCCTCAGTTATGTGGGGAGCAGGAATTGGGGGAGCTGCCCTTACAGCAGCTGATAAGCTAGTTACCTGAGAAAGGAGGAGACTCAGACACATTTGTGAATAAGGCCCCAGGGAGCTTTTTCTTCATGCCTTCTGCCATGTGTGGTCTTATCTACAATGAAGTCTGAAGGTAATATTTATTCCCGTGTAGATACTGCAACAGGATCACAGATGGTGCAAAAATGGTTTCTGGAATGCAATTAAAAAGCGGCAGGAAGCCAGCCACCAATGCTTTCTTACTTGTACCGCCATAAGTGTGAAGTATTGTAACTCCCATTGTCAAAGCTACTCACTATG